ATATAATATATATATATATATAGTGACGATGTACTATGCACTAAGTGTAAGTGTATTAGGTAATATTATATCGAATATATATGGCGTGTATATATATATATATATATATATATATATATATATATATATATATATATATATACTTACGCTGTACTATGCACTAAGTATAAGTGTATTAGGTAATATTATATCGAATATGGCGTATATATATATAATATATATACTTACGCTGTACTATGCACTAAGTATAAGTGTATTAGGTAATATTACGATGTACTATGCACTAAGTATAAGTAATATTAGGTAATATAATTTTAAATTAAATTAAAAGTAATTTAATTTTTTTTAGATATAGCGACCAATGTTGGTCGCTATTCTGGTCAAACGGTCAGAATTTAGCGACCAACTTTGGTTGCTATTTTGGTCAAATAGTCAATACATTTTTGCTACCAAAATTAGCGACCAATGTTGGTCGCTTTTTGTAAAAACAGTAGCTAAAAAACGGGTTTCCCCTCATATTCTCTTATTTTCTTGTCTCTCTTCTCTCTCTCACACTCAAACCCCCCCTCCCCTTCCGTCTCCCTCCACCGACGCCACCGACGCCCGCTGGCGGCAGCAGCTCCACCGCCGGTGTCCTCCACTGTCCAGGTAGGTTTCTCTCTCCTTTCTTTATTTTTTTCGAAATACACTGATTTTTTTTAATTCCTTCTAGTTTGATTTGTAAAAATTAATTGTTCTTAGCTAAATTAAATATATGATAATTGTTAGTAGCTAAAATATTTAGTTTTACCTACTAATTTGGGGAAGAAATGGTTTGAAGAGAAGAAACCCTAAACTTTTAGGGTTTATAATTGTTAGCAGCTTAAATTTTTCGGATATAATCCTAACTTTTAGGTTTGAATTATAACCTTGAATCTTTGTATTGTCTTGATAGTTTAGTTATAAATTGAAATTGTTAGGATATGAATTGAACCTTTAGGATATGAATTGGAATTTTAGTTTATGAATTGGAATTTTAGGATATGACTTGAAATTTTAGGATATGACTTGAATTTTTAGGATATGACTAGAACCTTTAGGATATGACTAGAACCTTTAGGATATGAATTGGAATTTTAATTTATGAATTGGAATTTTAGTTTATGAATTGGAATTTTAGGATATGAATTGGAATTTATGCTGTACTATGCACTAAGTATAAGTGTATTAGGTAATATTAAATTGAATATATAAGGCGTATATATATATATATAATATGTATATATAGTGACGATGTACTATGCACTAAGTGTAAGTGTATTAGGTAATATTATATCGAATATATATGGCGTGTATATATATATATATATATATATATATATATATATATATATATATATATATATATATATATATATATATATATATACTTACGCTGTACTATGCACTAAGTATAAATGTATTAGGTACTATTATATCGAATAAGGCGTATATATATAATATATATATATATATAGTTACGCTGTACTATGCACTAAGTTAAGTGTATTAGGTAATATTATATCGAATATATATGGCGTATATATAATAATATACATACGCTGTACTATGCACTAAGTATAAGTGTATTAGGTAATATTACGATGTACTATGCACTAAGTATAAGTAATATTAGGTAATATAATTTTAAATTAAATTAAAAGTAATTTAATTTTTTTTAGATATAGCGACCAATGTTGGTCGCTATTCTGGTCAAACGGTCAGAAATTAGCGACCAACTTTGGTCGCTATTTTGGTCAAAATAGTCAATACATTTTTGCTTCCAAAAATAGTGACCAAAGTTGGTCGCTTTTTAAAAATACAGTAGCTAAAAAACGGGTTTCCCCTCATATTCTCTTATTTTCTTCTCTCTCTTCTCTCTCTCACACTCAAACCCCCCCTCCCCTTCCGTCTCCCTCCACCGATGCCACCGTCTCCCTCCACCCGCCGGCGGCAGCAGCAGCTCCACCGCCGGTGTCCTCCACTGTCCAGGTAGGTTTCTCTCTCCTTTCCTTATTTTTTTCGAAATACACTGATTTATTTTAATTCCTTGTAGTTTGATTTGTAAAAATTCTTAGCTAAATTAAATCTATGATAATTGTTAGTAGCTAAAATATTTAGTTTTACCTACTAATTTGGGGAAAAATGGTTTGAAGAGAAGAAACCCTAAACTTTTATGGTTTATGATTTGTTCTTGTGAATCCTAACTTTTAGGTTTGAATTATAACCTTGAATCTTTGTATTGTCTTGATAGTTTAGTTATACATTGAAATTTTAATTTATGAATTGGAATATTAGGATATGACTTGAAATTTTAGGATATGACTTGGAATTTTAGGATATGACTTGAAATTTTAGGATATGACTTGGAATTTTAGGATATGAATTGAACCTTTAGGATATGAATTGGAATTTTAGTTTATGAATTGGAATTTTAGGATATGACTTGAAATTTTAGGATATGAATTGGAATTTTAGGATATGACTTGTATTTTTAGGATATGACTAGAACCTTTAGGATATGACTAGAACCTTTAGGATATGACTTGAACCTTTAGGATATGACTTGAAATTTTAGGATATGAATTGGAATTTTAGGATATGACTAGAACCTTTAGGATATGACTAGAACCTTTAGGATATGACTTAAACCTTTAGGATATGAATTGGACTTTTAGTTTATGAATTGGAATTTTAGGATATGAATTGGAATTTTAGGATATGACTTGAATTTTTAGGATATGACTAGAACCTTTAGGATATGAATTGAACCTTTAGGATATGAATTGGAATTTTTGTTTATGAATTGGAATTTTTGATTATAAATTGAATTTTTTGGATATGAGTTGAACCTTTAGGATATGAATTAAAATTTTGGTTTATGTATTGGAATTTTAGATTGCGGGAGGATTTTGTAGAAGGGGTTGACGGTAATATTAGACATGCAATGGAACTTCCACCAAGAATAACTAAGACACAGTACCTGGCAGAGTGTGCCTTTAATTGTTCTTCTCATTAGCGACAACGATGATGAGAAGGCAAGAACATGTGTTTCAAATAGTTATGGCGTAGGTAGGAGTTTAACATTTCCTAAGTAGATAAAAGAAGAGGTAATAGAGGAATTCTATACTTCAATTTCCATGAGGAAAAGGAGTTTAATTGGGAGTGACAAGGTTGATGGTGATGGAATGTTTTTCGAAGGTCATGGCAGTTCCCATAAAACGGAGATCATAAGACTCTATGATGACAGAGATTATAGGAAGTTTTGTTCTTAACTTTCTTCCAAGTCTGATCCGTACAAGCTTAGTGGGATATTGGTGATATATTCTTCGGATTCAGAAGAATATATCACCAATATCCCATTAAGCTTGTACGGATCAGACTTGGAAGAAAGTTGAGAACAAAACTTCCTATAATTTTTGTCATCGTAGAGTCTTATGATCCCCGTTTTATGGGAACTGTCATGACCAACGGAAAATATTCCATCACCATCACCCTTGTCACTCTCAATTAAACTTCTTTTCTTCTTGGAAAATGAAGTAGATAATTCCTCTATAATCTTTCTTTTATCTACTTAGGAAATGTTAAAATTCCTGCCTATACCATCACTAGTTGAAACACATGCCATTGCAGTCTCAACATCATTGTCGCTAACGAGAACAACGATTGATCAAAAGACACACCCTGTCAGCTACTGTATCCAAGTTATTCTCTGTATCCAAGTTCATCCCGAGTAATAGTACCACGAGGATAATCACCAAAGCCACCGGACAGCTTTATGATGCCAATGAAGCAAGATGAGCTATTCAATGAAACTCGTATTGTAAAGAAGAAGAAAGAGACTGATTCAGAAAGGTGGGTCGAGGGTCGAGCCTCGACTATACATGTAAGTTTTTTACTTTTCATTAAGTATTTTGATTTACTTTTATATAAATTTTGAAATATTAATTCAATATAATTTTTCTTATAGGTTCGCTTCACAGCTGATGTGGGGGAATTCATACGCAGTCAGCCACCTAACGAGTCGGCCGAGGCAATCCAACTTTCGAACGAGGATGCTAAAAGAACACTCCTTGAGTCCTTTATATACTTTGAACTAGACAATAGAACTAGTTTTCGAATGAGCTTGTAATAAACATTAACTTAGTTTTGTTAGCTTAATGTTTTAGTTCTATTGATCTTTATATTTTGTTGCTTTTTAGTGTTGTTGTTGTTGTTGTTGGCATAAAATGCCTGTTTAGGATATTTGGTATAAGCTGGCAGGTGGTGTAGCAGCCAAAACAGGCAGTTTCTGCCAAAAATATACCAAAAAAGCGAGCAACTTTGGTCTCCAGTTGGTCGCTTTTCACTAAAAAAATAATTTTCTGGACAATAGTGACCAGTCTTGGTCGCTATTGTATTTTAAAAAAACAATTTGTGGTAATTTTGCAACCAATGTTGGTCGCTTATAGTTAAAAAAAAAAATATTAATTCTTGCCATTGGCGACCAATTGTGGTCGCAAATTAAATAAAAAATTATAAAAACTATTAATATAGCGACCAAAGTTGGTCGCTTGATATGATTAACAATAAATAAAAATAAAACGTTATTTACATCTGGAGACCAACTTTGGTCGTTAAATTTATAATATTAAATTATTGTAGCGACCAAAGTTGGTCGCTATTCTCTTTACCCGGAAAATTTGGTCCTTTTACCTGAGAGACCAAAGTTGGTCGCTAATTAGCGACCATTAATGGGACCAGCTTAATATCGACCAGGCGTGTTTGGTCGCTTTTTGGCCAATAGTTGGTCGCTTTTTTCCGGATTTCTAGTAGTGAGATAAGCACAAAATTCACAATGAATTTAGCTAATATATTATGTAGTTTAACCTCCTGCAGTAGGTTACCTATCTTATTTTCGATGTTCCCGATTCCACTCATTATGAAGAGTTAGTTACCTTTTAAATGATGGAATAGAGTAAAAAAAATTCTTAAACACAGTCTATGTATAAAAATTAAACTCCTTTATGATTCCTTTAGTGACATTAATTAATCTATACAAAACTTGGTGAGAAAAAGAAAAAGAATGAGGTAGATGCAACTGATGTATAACGTTAATGTAGATTTTAAATACAGCTGTGAAGGAAATGACCCGGTTCTTTCAGAGAAGTCGAGCTCCCCATTCTCTTAACTATCATATTAAGAAAATGGTTCGGGATCAGGGGCTGGATCCAACCTTGTTAAAACCTCGGGTTCTCCTGCAGAGTTCCTTACTATCTGTTTTTCAAACAACCAACATCAGAAATTGATATGAACTTTTTGGTTCAATGCACTATCATAAGAATTGGCATACAATTGCAGAGATAATTTATTCAAGCGAACTGCAGATTCATACGCAAATATTCAAGTGCATAAATCCATCCAAGTATCCTTATATCTTGTCAGTTCTACATTATAAAAGTACTCAGTTATCAACATAGTGAAGAAGCTAGCTACGAGTTATTAATTTTGCAAGACCAATGGTTGTGGGTCGGTTTCAGCATTGCTGCATTCATGTCCGCTAATGGGAGTATTTCCAATCTGATACCCATCCTGGATTAATAAAGCCTTATAAAACTAATTGAAGTGGACTTACCAGGATCTCTTCATCAAGGTAAGAAATCATAATAAGTCTTTGAAACGCCTCACCTGTAAAAAGTAACTAGGAGTATTATATGTGACTAATACAGTAGCACAAATATTACTTTAGGAAAGGTTAAATGCGTCAGACTTCTAAGATGCCAAGCTAGACCTTGCCAAGCAGTTGAAGGAACTGGACAACCAGGACGAGAAAATCTGACCGGAACCAAGTATATTATCTTATACTTTAATGCAGAAAATATACTTAACAACTCAAGATTCTGAAAACAACAAGAAGTGAAATAAAGAACTCAAGATTCCAGACAAAAGTGGGACAGAGTCTGTGAGATGAAGTGGTAAGGTTCAAAAGATAAATCACCCTCATACATTATTATTTTCAGAAAAAGAAACATCACTCTAATATGTTCATAAGCTTAAATATGCTTGTGAAGGTGCATTATTGCACATTTAGCTCTCTTATCAAGATACACTACCTTACTCTAAATCACTTATATTAGTCCTTAGTTGATAACAAATAGCAAATCCTAAAGAGATATCAAATGCTTACCAAGAGGAATTTTCAACCCACTGGACACAGTATCTTTGATGGGAACAGGAAGTTGCTGGAGAGTGCTAACAACCTGACCGAGAGCACCTCTTAGTTGCTCAGGCATGGTATTGTCATTTACCTTCGGAGTTTCAAATATCCCTTCAAGATATTCCTCTTTCATTCGAAGAGGCCCCTCAACAGAAAACTTGCTGGAGAGAACAAATTTACTTTCGATCTGCATTCCACCATCATTATATTTGTCTTTGCTAATATTCAATGATCAGAAATATATGCAACTACTTTTCTTGATGACCAGAAATAATTATGAAGCAGCACCTCGAGGCCTTGACTAAGTTGACCCGAGCTGGACTAACTTGCATAGGGCAATCAGGGCTAAGGTAATTTTTCTTAATTAACTATTAGGGCTAAGCTTTGAGTGTCAGGATAACTGAGCATGAGTATTTAGGTTCATAACTTAGTGTAAACCAAGGAATACCCCGCCCTTTAAATTTGCTTAATAGAAAACTTATTCAATAATTTACAATATGTTTGTGTGGCCTAGCGGTCAATGATCTTCCACGGTCTACATTCTAGTCGAGACAAAATAGTTAGGTGATTTCATCTCATCTACCTAATTATTTTTTCTTATAAGGCTCCCATATGCCTAATCCTTGGTGAAGAGAGCAGTACATGTACCAGTTATTACAGCGCATTTGATTATGTTGCTTCTTCGTTTCCTGTTACTAAGCTGATAATGTCAAAGTATCAAGCTTTTGTTATGCATATTGCATTTGTTATAATCCAACATAGGGGGGTAGCTGTGAGCTTACAACATCACGCCAATCAAATGTCTGCGTCAGTTCTTTACTCTTTTGACTTTTTCCATCATTAACATTTGCTAGTTCCTTTTGCCGTTCTTCTTTGTTCCCATCAATCCTTTGTTGCTTGAATATATTCCATAGTTTTACAATACACGAAGCACCGATTACCAATAACTGTGAAGTAATGGAAGGAAAGAAAACTAGAATGCAGGCAAGAGTCCAGTTCTTGCACTGCATTGACTAAGAAAGCATAACAAACTCCATTGCTATCCTTTTCATTCCACCTTCTAATTAGTAAAGAGAAAATTCTTTTCTGTTTGACCATAACATATGTTCTGCATATGAAATGTATTGACATAGATGAGTTACCGAATTCAGTAATTTCACATGCGCAATAGCAGTCCCATATACATTTCTGATCAGCAGATCTAATTTTGATAGATTTGCCAGAGTTGGAGGAATTCTCCTGCAACAGCACAATATTCGTATATTAGCAGCTATTTGAATCAAACTGAACTATAACCAAATCCAGTGCATAATATTTAATATAACTGGATGTAATCCACCAAACAAAAGAAAAGAATACTTGCCCAAATAAAAGTCTGGTAGCCAAGAACGCTGGACTTGCAGCTCCAAACCACTCAAAATTCCATCGACCTTCTAAATAGGGAGACCTGGATAGCTGAAAACACAAGTAAATATCTTATCAAGAAGCTTGAACAAATGGTGTTTCTCAGTAAGATTTTAAAACCTTACGTTGTTGGTCGAGGTGTCGGATTAAGTCTCTCAAGGGCAATGATCCTCTCGTTCACATCAATGCGCTGTACATCTGTTGTCCTCCCAGTGACTAATGCCTCAAAACCTCCAGCATCTTTCAACTGTTGTAGAATGAACAACATACACAAGTGCTCAAGGGACAAATACTAAGTACTCCCTATGTAAGAATTACAATAACACTCTTTGGCGAGTCTACCATTTTTTCCAAATATTTTCCAATAATTTGTACTTGTTACTACCTCTATCCCAATTTGTTTCGTATAGTTTGACTAGACAAAAAGTTTAGGGAGAACAAAATACTACACATAGAATAGATACGCATAAAATATCCATAGTGCACTTGTACCAGATGATTTGTTTGTAAAAGTAGGATTAAGTTATATACACAGCCACGGTAGATAACACGATCAATGAATTTTAATTTGTAATAGCATGTTAGTTTCCATTTAAACTAGATTAGCAATTGGTGTTTATCAAAAGATGAACCTATAATTATCTACTCCCTCTACTTCAGTTTACGTGAAACTATTTCCTTTTTGGTCCGTTCCAAAAAGAATGACCCCTTTCTAAATTTGGAAACAATTTAGCTTAAACTTCCAATTCTAAGAAAATTTTATAACCGCACAAATACTTTGGACGCCTTTTTGATTTGTTTAGGACCACAAATTCCAAAAGTCGTTTGTGTAGGGTACATGGAACTTAAACTCATAAAACTAAACCATAAGATGTCAATCATATAGAGAATTGCGCCAAATAAATTGGGATCGGAGGGAGTATATAATTTCTCGATATGTAAATTTTATTTCCAATATATATTAGCTACTTTCATACGACCACCATCACGTTTTAATAACATTTCTTTAGCTAAATAGTAAAAAGAGTGAAACATTAAAGAAATAATCCAAAAGGGAACAGAAAAGGCACATGAATTACTCACAGCAAGAAGCAGAGATTCTTTAGCTGAAAGTCTTTCCATTTCTTTAGCAAAAGGGGAAGAAGCTCCTTCTACTACCCCACTCTGCTGAACCATGGCTCTGCAAATTCTCAATTTCTTTCGGGCATTTCGGTAATTTTCTGGGAAACTGATGGTAGAAAGTGGAGAAGGAGAAGAAGCGGGTGGAAACGACGACAACGTATACAGTGGACGCTGGCAAGAGAATGGAAGTGACAAGTTTTGAGTTAAAATTGCCATTAAAAATGGAAGAATGGACTGAATGAGAGTGAATTTGATTGGTGGGAAAATTAGTGAGTTTTATGGAATGGAATTTATAATGTGGCTCTGTTGAAACTGGTCTCTTTTCAAGATTAATAAATTCTAGACGTCTCTACTTTGTTTCTAGTGTTATTCTTTGAAACTGAACTTCCTCATGGGTCCACCTCTTATTTTTTTCATAAGTTTTTACGTATTTTTTTTTATTTTTTTTGGGAGTAGAAACATCACATTCACATGTAAATCTTGTTTTATTTTTATTTTTTGAAGGCATCGTGTGCACAAGTTAACACAACGTGTTTCCTTTAAATAAAATAAAATTTGTTTATATGGTTTTTGTGATCATCTTTGTAAGGTTGATGGTAGTTTAATAGAAACGTCTTTGTTTTTGCGCCACACATAATTAGCTTGCATAAAGATAGAAGAAAATTTGAAGTTAAAAAAAGCTGGCTGAATGATTAAGGCATTATTATATTGAAGGAGTTTGAAATTAATAGAGTGTAACTTCTTGGATAGTAAAGAGTTCCGTTGCCTAAGAAAATGTATTTACGAAAAAGTGAAAAGTCTAATTCAACTGAAAACTGAACCAAATTGACGTTAAAACCGAAGATGTTTGGCTTTGGTTAGTTAGGTTTTTAATTTGAAAAAGTTCACAATATTTGATTTTATTTGGTATTGAACAGAAAAATTGAACCAAACAATTAGCTTGACGCTATTGACTCTGTGGCTCTGGATTCTCTTGAAAAAGTGGAAATGAAAGAGAGCCCAGAATTAGCTCAATCTACAGGACAAAAACCCAAGATGATGAGTCGATTTCGGTGTCACTATTTAAGTTATGTCCTAAGTTTATAAATTTTTGTACGTCTATCCACTTGTGAAAGAAGTTTAAACATGCGGTGTCTAAAGTTAGTAACAAAGCCAAACTTCAAATATAATTTATGAAGTTTCATATGGCTGAAGTTGAACCATTTTTGCCCCAAACATCAGCCATAAATAGTCATTTTTGCATGATTTCAGCCATTTTTATCTGAAGTTCATGCACATGTAGCTGAAGTTGAACTTTAGACATTTTTGTCTGAAGTTATTCGAAAGTGAGTAGATATACAATTTTTTAGAAAAATTGGATACAAATGTTTACCCTAAAAACGGATAACAATTGAATTTATACTATGGTTTTAAGGATACGTGATTTACTTAGCACAAACTGAGAGAAAACGTAAATTGATACTGAAATTAACTGCAAATATAAATAAAGCAAACCAAATAAAATGTATAGCTTTGATCCTTGAGCTGGGTTGCCCTCGAATCAAATGAATATTTCGCTGGAAAGTATGAACAAAGTAACAGAAATATTGAGAGCTTAAGATAAAAGAGAATATATTGCTTTATGTAACGTGAATATCATGTCCATTACAAATGATCATACCCCCTTTATATAGTAGGGGAGTCCTGCTCTTGGTACAAGTCTAAATACAGTAAGAAATCTCATGATACTAATTAATCAGTCTCTTCTTGATACGTGCCGGAATTTGCGTCATGATCTTCGCCCGATTGCGGATCTTTCGTCTTTCCGGGATTTGCACCGTGATCTTCGCCCGATTGCGGATCTTTCATCTTTCCGTTATTCGACCCAGCAAGCTTCCCTCGAACTCCAACTTATTCGGTATTGATCTTGGTCGATCTCAATCTTGGTCGGTCTCGGTTTTTGGTCGATCTCAGGGTCTCGAGCTTGACAGCCTAACTCTGCACCATATAAATCGAAGCCGATCCTCGACTTATCATGCTCCAGCCTCGATCAGTCACACAAAAAAGGGCAAGCCCGATTTCGACCGTATACAAGTAGTCCCCTCATTTTTTAGACAGTAGTGACAAGAAACGATTTGAGCCCCGATCTTCATCTCGATACATCATGACGTAAGCATCATGACGTAGGCACAAGAGGTTACCGAAACGTCTCGTCGGTACAGTTTCCCAGACATTTAATGCGTGCCAGTCGACTGTCGGCCACTACCGGATTTGAACCGTCATCTTAAACCTATAAATGCATCTTTCTTCTTTTGCCCAAACTTTACTTTCAAATCTTCTTTGCCCTAATCTCTAAAACTCCTTTGCCTTTCTCAAAGCTTTGTGTTTTCAGATCTTTTTGCTTGTTCCATCACAAAATACCAAGTGTTTCTTCTCAATTTTCGTTCTTCTTCATTCGTAAAAGTAAAATGGCTAAGACTTCAAAGACTGTTCCGCACAAGGAAACCGCTTCTTCATCAAGGCCCGTCGGTGACGGACCCGTGGCGAACCTCCCTTAGAGGACTTTGTTCCGACAAAGTGCCCCGCTGCTGCCTGATGTCGCCCAAATTCACATCACTGATTGGGATTGTGAATTGGTCGATGCAATTATAATTACCCAAGCATATATTGGATTAGGTATATATCTTGACTAAGTGTATGATGTGCCTAAAATGCACTTCCACATATTTGGTTCTACTTCTAATGATTATCTAATGTTTGCAAATAAAAAACTAGAGAACAATATTTCTTGTGTTGTTGTTTTTCAAGTTTATAAAAGATCTAGGGTCGTGACTTCCACCTAGGTGGTTACCTAACGGGTTGTGGGATTTAGGGCAAGTTTGATTGGTCGGGGTCATAATATAGCAATCACACGCAATTACCCACTCGATACCTCTCGGTAGTTAGAGTAGTTTTGCCCAATTTAGCTTTCTCAAGTCCAAATGGGTAATTCACAAAACAAGTGATAGATGCTCAGGTCGGATCTTACTATCTCTAGATTCAACCCTTAATTGGGGCTATCAATTTTTTGAGCTCACTCCAATTCCTTGTTAGTCAAGTTTTCCTAGACTTAGTCTCTCTTTCTCAAGTAGAGACTAAGTCATTTAGACATGAATTAATGTTTGCAACCATTAATTCTTAAATTCAAGCAAGAACTAGGCTAAATATCACTCACCCAATCACAAACAAGCCCTAAATCAAACACCCATTAAGTAGTCACACTAGGGTTGAGTCACAACCCTAGCTAGAAATTTAGCTACTCATAGAGAAAACTGAAGAAATTAAAGAAGAAAATAAGATTAAACTCATAATAGATGATAAAGAGAAGAAAATGCAATGTTAAAATGATAAACTATCAAAAAGTTACCCAAAACAGTAAAGGAAAAACGACTATCTACTTTCTGATGTTCAAACTTAACCTAATTTTGACAAAAAAAGACTATTTATACACAGCTAAAATTATCAGACAAAATTGTCCCTGCGAAGATTCTGCGGCCGCATAATTCTATGTGATGTTCGCACTTTGAAGGTGGCTTGACAGGATGGACTTTTGCGGCCACACAATTCTGGGTTGCAGCTGCACTTATTCAGATTCAGCGGATTGCATATTTCTGAGTGCGGCTGCACTCTTGACTATGAGCTTGATCTGAGTGACTTCTGCTGACCGCACATTTCTGAGTGCGGCCGCACAATAATGATGTGGTCCGCACTTCTTCATGAACTCAGAATCCATCTGCGGCCGCATAATAATTGTGCGGTCCGCACTTTGCATGGAAAATCTGACTGACGAGTCTTCATAGTCTGCGGCCGCACACAATATTGTGTGGTCTGCATTTTTGCTCTTTCTGCTTTGTCTTAGTCCTTGTCCAAAAGTACTCCTTCTTGAGTTGATTTTCATCTCTTTGGCTCATTTTCCAATAATCATGCAAGTAAGCACATTTTATCAGTTCTCGGGAATACCTTTAAGCATTTTTTGAGCTAAAACGAAAGTTAAAGGGTGCAAATAAGTAGTCAAAATCCCTACTTATCAACTCCCCCAAACATAAGATTTTGCTTGTCCTCAAGAAAATAAGGTAATTCCCACCTCCATAAGAAAAGATTTATTTCAGCTAGCCTAAGGTGAATCAAACACACACATTAATTGGGACCAACAATTATCCACAACACTTATGAATTATCAGCAAGGCAATGATTTGACTTTTCAAGTACAATAGTTCAAATGTGACGCTAGAGCATCAAGAGTTGACTTTATTCATCAAGGAAGCTCGCTCTTTCATGTAGGTGATTGTGGATCCCAAACTCCTCCTCCTCTACTCTCCATTAGCATATCTCACTTAAGAATGTAGCACTAAATTCAAGGATTTAGTTCACTCATCTCTCTCAAAAGAATGCCACAAGTATGGCTCTAGGTACCATATGTTTGCCCCTCATGTAAATCACCAATAATGTAAATCCACACGGTGTGAAATCACGTAGGGCTATTTCGGAATGTAATGAAGGCTTATTGGACAGGGGTAGGGAATGTTGGAATTGGAACGAGTTCATCTTTCCTTAAGCACTCCATTTTTCTCTTTTTGGATCATGTTATTGCCGACTCTTTGAGTCGTTATCTTTTCCTCGGGGGAGCTAGAGAGACTTAACATCACTATTTCTTGGTCATGATGGTCATTTTCTCCTTCTTTGTTTTCTCCATGCTTTGCATCATTGCTTTTCTTTGAATCCCTTTAACTCTTCACTGTATTCACTTTTTTTCTGTATTTTTCTTTTGTTCATTCTTTCTTTTTCTTTGCCTATCCTTTTCTTCATTTCTTTTCTTTTTGTGCCTTCTCACCACTTTCAATCTCCTCGTCTCTCCCCCAAACTTACATTTTAGCCAGTTACTTCTCAAGAGTGTTAAGGAAAGCTAGAGTGCCAAGAGAGGGTCACTACAAAATGGGTAAAGGCTTATAACGTGGCTATCAAATGAAAAAGGTCTTAGGCTCAAATGGGTTGACTAGGGATAGCAAAATTGGTGGGGCATGGACAATTTTAAGCGGGCTAAGGAGAGCCTACAATCAGTTCTCAAGTCAAGCAAAGATTAGAATTTAACCTAGAAACACATTCGGGGCAAGTTCTAGACCATTCGCATGGGTACTTGGACTTGCAACAAAAAATCTTACTTCTCACACAATTGGATTGTTAAAGAGGATAGAGTCGAGGGCCCACAACAACCATATTCAATATTGAAAATTGCTAATGGTTCAACAAGAAAAGATCTATTTCAAGTCAACACATTTAACTTAAGCTTTTGCTTGTCCTCAAGAAAATAAGGTAATTCC